CTCTTCTTGGTCCTTTTTTTCTTTCCTTTCTACTTATTCTTCTACTACTTTTTATCTTCTTTTTCTTTTTTTTCTTTTTTTTAATCCAGACAATCATAGGATTGAGACGGGGAAAATACAGCACCTTGCCAAAATCACATAAATTTTAATGGCTTTCCTGTTCACTTAACCCCACATCAACAGTGTGACCTTGCTAGTCTGAACCATGAACCATCAGGGTGTGGAGGCCAAGAGCAGGGTGGATCTGGCCTTGCTCCAGTGTCTGTTGCAGAAAGGAAATTGTGGGGCATTTTGTGGAATACTTTTGAAAACACACTGTGTCTTTTTCAAGACACTTGTGCCCTAATCACATGGAAGCTTGCAATGGTAACCAGTTAGCACTCATCCCTAACAAGACTAACACGCAATTAACACTTGGGCAGTGAATGCTCCCCAAACTCTATCTAATCATTTTTGTTTCTTCAGCATACCCCAAATTCTTAGAAGTCTTTAGTTTCCAGGATATTTACACACCCAAAAGTCCTTAAGGCCGTTGTTCTCCAAGAAAGGCAATTCTAATTGTTGTCAGCAGGAAGGAAAATTAGGAATGGAGGAGAGGCTTAAGGAACGATTTTTTTAAAGGTGTTCTAGCATCACAAGATGTACAGACACATATCATTAGTCCAGAAAGGACAAAAGCAATGATCTTCTCTGACCTCTTGTACAACGCAGGCCACTTAACTTCGCCAGATCAGTGCATTTTAAGTAGAGCAAATCTTTAAGAAAAACATTCCATCTTAATTTTAAAATTTCCACTGGTGTAGAAAGTGCCACAACCCTTGGCAATTTGTTCCCAAGGTTAATTGCACTCCCTGAGAAAAATGTGCACCTGATTTTCAATCTGAATTTGTCCCTATAAAACTTCCAGCCTTCAGAGCCTGCTGTTTAACAGACTGAAGAGGCTTCATTTTAAAAGTTACATTCCCCATGGAGGTAATTAGTGTGGGATTATCTCACTAGACTTTAATCACGCAAAAATGAAGCATCTTGTCTCACCCAGTGTTTGGGGATTCTTCTGTAACCAATTGAGAGTAACAGGCACTACCCGAAGGAATTTCATTGCAGATATCTCTGTACAGTATTAGTTGCACACTAGAGATATCTGATTTCTGTGCTGATTGAATAAGGGGTACAAAGCAGTGAGTTTAAACCCTAGTCCTGTCTTTCACATGTGGAAATTTGGGCAAAACAAATCTCATAATTTTGGGATCAGATCACCTCATTAGTCCTCTGTTTTCTGGAGGAAACATTGAATTCGTTGAGCTCTTAATGATAAATCATATCTTCCAGTTCCTTGCAAGCTCTTGGTAGTCTTCTCTCAACTCCTCAGCTTATCAACATTTCCCTTGAGCTGGGATTCAGAACGGGACCCCACCCTCTCAAAAGGGTGATGGTGGTGCCAATATTAGTAGTAATATAAACCCATCCTGCTCAGACCTTATCTTCCCTGCTGCACATTCAATTATGAGCCCTTTTAGGTACCACACTGCACTGGAAGTTGTGATTATCCACCTGTAATGAGTTCTAAGTCTTTTTAAAAGTCACGTCTACTACAGGAAAGGTCCTGTAAAGCCACCTTTTGCTGTTTCTAGACAGAAAACATCAGATTTTGTCTAAAACTTCTGGCTCGTTCCTTACCAGCAACACATTCATTTTACTACTGTCTACCCTTCTAGTGTTTGTGTGGTCTGTAGGTATAATCTATACAATCTACAGTGACTGCTTTTTTCTTTTTTTTTTCTTTTCAAAACATGGTTAGAAATGTTAAACAGCTTTGGATCCAGAACCATTCTCTGCAGGATTCCTGTGGTGACATACATGCTCAGTGAATTTTCCCCATTTACAATTACATATTGAGATGTACCAATTAGCTACTTTTTAATCCATTTGATGTTTGCTACAATGATTTTTTAGCATTCGCTTTTATTAACCAAAATGTCAGGTGGTACCCAGTCAAATGCCTTACAGATATCTAAGTACATTACATCAGTGCCATTACCTTTCTCAACCAAGCTTGTAATCTCATAAAAATGATATCAAGCCAGTTTGACAAGATCTATTTTCCATAAACCCATGTTGAAAGGCATTAATTATATTACCTTCCTTTAATTCCTTATTAATCAAGTCTCATATCAGCTGTTCCAGTATTTTGCCTGGGATCAATGTCAGGTTGACAGGCCTATAATTACTCAAGTCATCCCGTTTAACCTTTATAAATGTTGGCTCTATATAAGCTTTCTTCTAGCCTTCTGGATCCTCCCCAGGGCACCAAGATTTGTTGAAAATCATCATTAATGGTTCAGAGAGCTCCTTTGCTAGATCTTTCAAAATCCTCTGTTAGCTTCTGCAGCCTCTGTCATGACCATACATCGTTATTGTTGCAAAAAGGTCTGGAAGGTCTATGAGACACTTATTGCATCTTCCAGTACCCAAATACCTATGCAAGCCTGGCTGGAAGCAAGCTGCTTAAAGAAAGGAAAACAGAAATATAAACCCATTTTTTCCCACTCTCTGCCCCTGGGCACTTTAAATATCATTTATTAGCATGAAAGCATAGAAATTCACACAAATACTTGTCACATAGCTCTGCCTTGAATGAAACCATCATATGATTCCACCTCAATCTTACAAAAAATGGCAGTCACTTCCAAGGAGTGTCACAAATTGTTCCTGAGAAGCTTGCCTAGTAATGCACCACAAGCCTGGTCTCACAGTCTCTGCACCATCCCAACCCCTGGTGTGCTGGACCTTTTGCCCTTTGAAGGCACGGAGTTTTCCCTCTATGCATCCTGGCACAGCTGAGCTCTATTTGGGCTATGGATGTAGCCCAGCAATCTGACTAATTCAATTAGTTTGTAAATACACAGTTTTGATGATTTCTACATGAAAGAGGCTGGCACGCACACACATACACACACACACAGACACGCACACATATATGTGCATGGCTGTGTGTGTGTACATATATATATATATGTGTATTTATTTATATATACATAAGCATGTGTGTGTGTATACGCACACATATATATATACATGCATATGTATATATAAATAAATTGAAAATCCTGACTGAGAGAACAGCAAATATCAGGAAACAAAAAAAATTCACACGGGCCAATGCTTTTAAGCATGGAAATATTTCAAATACTCAGTCGTAGGATATGTTTCCAAAATGCTGACACATACAAATTGGACACTACGACATTATCAGTAGTGACTATTGCATTATTCTGGTAAGAGAATTGGTGCTTTTGTGTGATTCATATAAAAATACTTAGCAGAAGTGCATACTGTTATAATTTCTTAACATTGTTGTGTAAGTCCGTTTTTTCTACTAAGAATTTGTTCTGTGGCTATCCAGGCAGACCATCTTCTGACAGACTGAAGAGCAGGTATTTCTATGTTCCCATTCACTATGAACTCACAGACTGCATGGTAGGCAGAAGGGGTGTTTTTAATTCTAAGTGTGCATGCCTAATTTAACTTTGCCGGTAATTTAGCTAAGTTGTGTACTGAGATTTTTTGTGAACAAGTAATAAAATGCATGGACAATTTTCCACATAAACATTTTCTGAGTTACTTGCATACTATTTGAATTCTCTACATGTTCATTCTAACAGATGAAGCCCCCAAAGTTTTTGTTTCTGTTAGTTTTGGTATTTTCTTCAGGGATCCTTGAGATTAGTTAATGAATTAATTATTTTCTAAATTGCCCTGTACCAATACAGCTTGTAGTCAGGAAGCATGAAGGGAGGGTTCTTTGAAAAGCAGGCTGAAATAAGCAGAGCTAGTTAATGTGTGAGTGTATATACACAAACACATACATACACAAACACATACATACACAAATGTAGAGATATGTAGATCTATAAATATATATGCATGCATGTGTGTGCACGTGTAGAATGTCAGTTGCAGTTATTATTTTTGGATAAAGAAAATCACCCCAAATTTAGAAGGGTAAAACTAACAGAAAAATTAATAAATCTTTAAACTAATGAAAATTTTAAAATTAAATCTTATCAGGTGGAACATATTTTGAATTGTAAAGGTGTGTTAAGTGAAAGAGAATGACTCTAAAGGTATTGTATTGGTAAAGAAAAAAACAAGGAAACAACAAAACAAAAAAAAAGAGGTCTCTCTTAACTAGTGTCACAGACCTGGTCACCTCTCTGAAAAAGATGCAGCAGAAAGAATCATTGCCAAGAAAGGAAACAAAAGTTATTTGATGCATGGGCCTTCTTCTTTCTGCACTGCAGCTTAGTTCACATGAAGAGCAGAAGTGAGTGAATTGATGAATATTCTACATGGGATAAATCTGAGACTCTTAAATAAAGTAATGCAGTAAAATTAAAACCAGAAGCACAAATCTTTTGTATATCATATAAAGAACTTGTGAAACAGTCATTGTTGGAGAATATTATTGACAAAAATAACCAAGGAGATGACTAAAAAGGCAGCAATGGGAATAATGATGACATGAGCTGAATTACCATCAGCAGTTACAAATATTATAAATGAGGGATTTTTTTTTACTTGGTATCCATATTTGGTGACTTACCTTTTTTCCAGTGCTGTTGTACCATCATTGGAGGCAAAATACCTAACTATGGGCTTGTCAAAATTATTTTCTGTGACATAAATTCCCACTGTTTATCCAGTGCCACACCTCTAAAAGTACACAGTTAGTTCACATATACCTGTTAGCCACACCAAAGTCATGCAGTGATACTTCTGTTATTGAAAGAGCATTGCTAACATGGTTGGGGCAATCAGCTCTGGGCAGCAGCTCTACCTGGGCAGCATTTGGTACCCCGAGCTAAACCAGACAATGCTTCAGTGTTGGCACTTTCTTATTTACAAACTGCATCAGTCACAAATAACAGTTGCCTTTTTGAAAGCTTTGTTTTGGCAATTCACACATGTGGAACAAGGGTCTCAAATCATAAATGTCATACCTTTGTCACCAGGATTTGAAGAAATCTGCAGGGTTCCTGTTTGGATGCAAATCCCAGTCATTGCACCTCCTGTGATTCACATCAAAAAAACTTGAAAAAGGTTTTGATTTCGCCAGCTGCTGTGAAGGCAAAACTTCCTTTCAACTCTCACCATCCTATTCAGGGAAGACTTTGCTTCTTCTGAACAAGGTCTTGTCTCTCACCCTCTTGCACCCTCATCTTTGAAATCTAACAGGTAAATTGAAAGTTAGTGGGAAGTGTTTATTCCAAGGCGAACAGGCTCCTGCATTGCTTTGCAGTAGCTGTTAGTACTCTGTGACACACCAACAAAGTTTATCTTTTCCCACAAATGCCTCAAAATAATGAGATGTGTCAAATTAAACTGCATTTGCCTTTTGTCAAGCATAATCTTTTTTTAATTTCTTTTTTTTTAATTCTGTGTTTAATGTGTATTAGAGCTCGTGGGAAGACCCATGTTGGCAGCCCAGGCAAGTGAAGTTTTCTTCAGCTCCACAAATCCACTATACACAGACTGCTGCCAAAAAGAGTTCATCCGTGTGGTCCCATACCTGCCCTTAAAATGGTGGGGAGAGTAGGAACTGATGGATCACCACTGCAGACCAAATCAAGTAAGTCCATCCTAGCAGTGGAATTAACAGCAGAGGTCTAGGACTGAGTTCAAGGAGTAAACTCCCACAAGGAGCTGTGCAGGGCATCCTCCCACAGTATCTGGGCACTATCATCTGGCAGGACACCACACAAGTCCCCCTGGGTGCATGTAGAAGGAGCTGGGTGAACTACGGTAGCCTTGATGGGAATTTCAAAGAAACCAGTCCTGGGGATGCTTAGTAAGACATATGGGTCTCCACAAAACACCACCTGACCACAAAATTCCCATCTCTCTGAAGGTTGTATGCCCCTCCTCCCCAAGAAAAAAATGTTAAAGAAAACTTGTTTCCTCCTCTGCTATTTTCCTTCTGTCCTTCAGGCTGGCGCTGCTCAGCCTCCACATTCAAGCAGTATATGCGTTTCCTCTAGAGCACATTTAAGGAGTACAGACATGATCATTTAAGTGCACACTTTACTTAGCTATCCTTAAGAACACAAAATAGACACAGAAAAAAAAGACGGTGTCTGTATGCTCATTAAAACGCTTTCAGCCCAGGGCAAGGATTTGATCAAAAGGATTCCTGCCAATGGAAGGGCATGCTGGAGCCATTGTAAGAAGTTATGTGCAAGCGTCTGCCTTCCTTTCCTTTTCTTTCTTGTGCCCTGTCCCTTCCACTGCCACCTCCAATCTCTTTTCTTCCAGCTGGGGGAACAGAAGAGATTTTACTTCCTTGATGACAATTGTGTCCTTTGAGCAGCCAAAGCAAAAGGCACTTTGAGTTCAAATGAGACTGTGACTTAAACCAATATTAGCCAAGACCAACACATGTTTATTGTAATATAAGTAACCTTCATTCTGATCAGCAGGTTTTCCTCACCCCACTGCAGTTTTACTCATTGCTGCTTTCATTCTTCCAAAATGAATAAATGAAATAGCTGCACATTTTTATTCACAGCAGTGGGTTTCAGAACTTCAAATCAGAGAGGCGTTTTGATTTTAGAAATAAACTCCAGAGGAAACAGTTTCAGCCAGAACTTTCATATATTTTTTTTACCAGTTTAAGGTAACATCAAAACTCACCTTTCCAAAAAAATGAAACCTCACAGCATTCTTTTAATCCAAATTAAATAAAGTGTCATCCCTATGTCCTCTTCCTTCATATTTAGAGGGAAAGAAAACTATCCTGCCCATACTTTAATGGTTTTGTCTGCAAATCCTAAATGCTCTGCTGCTGCAAATTTCAAATGATCTTATACAGCCAAAGTCTCTTTGGTGTCAGCAGCTGCCCAGGTAGCAACACAACCACGAGAACGCTGCTGATCAGAACAATGAATGCCAGATCTACAGATGTCATATCAAGGTAGAAATCTTGATGAGCATTGTAGTGACATTACAAAGTGGATTACACATGCTGTATCTGGGTCAGAGAAGGAGTGATTTCAGTAAGGTCAACAAAGTACTTCTGACCAAACTTATTTTTCAACATTTTGAGAGATACGCTTTTGTTTGTTACTTCATGTTGCATCTAATAACAATACTCTCTCTGTTCTCCTGTATCAGTCTGGAAGCAAAGTTAAAAGGAAGGCAAAATACTCCCATGCCTGGGGTTATGCAATTTCAGAGATGGGTTCCAACTCCCTGCTCTACTTTCCTTCATGACTGGGAGCCCAGCCACTGCTGCCCAGAGAAGCTTTTGAGCTACATGCTCAAAGTGTCTGTCCCTCACTCGCTCTCTGCCTTCATTCTCCACCCAGTGAGAGGATTCTTCCTTTCCAGGTGTGTTGGTGTTTGTCAAAGGAACAAATATAGCAAGATTATACAGTCCCTACGTACTCTAGCCCAGGGATAAAACAAGTACCAAAACACTTATTTTTGGATGTGTGGGTCCCTACATGGCAAAACTGTCACTGTACAGCACAAAATGTACCTCACCTTCAACCATCTTTCCCAGAAATGGAAAACAGGACAAAGGCTAAGGAACTGTACCTACATGGGAGGAAGGAGATGAAGTTGCCCTATCCAGGGAATGTGACATTTCAAAGATGTTGGCTTACAGTACTGTGGGTGGAAGGAAGGGATACTTGTGAGATTTTTTTTGGCTGTACCAACATATTCTCTTGTCTTAATTTTGAAATTGAAATTTTTTTATTTTTTTTTTTTACAAAATCTAGTGCAAAATAAATGCAGTTCTTGACATCTGATATCTTGTGTTTCCAGATTCAATAGGCTCCCTGGGATGCTGACAGCTGCAAACAAAATTGGAAAGGCTGACCATCCCCTCCAGCTGTGCTGGGGCTCCCAGTGCCAGCAGCTCTGGAGCACCCACTATGCATGCTGAATCTCCTGGCTCCTCGACTCTCCTGCGGAGAAGAGCCTGGATCTTGTGCCTTGCCACTGGAATGGCTTGGGTAGGATGAGCTGTGCACAGTAAAGACATTGCAATGAGGCTGTCAGAGAGCAATACCCTTGTGTTGGAAAGAGAGGCTCTACAGGGCAATGCTTGAGCCCCCTTAGTTCTTACCCAAACCACAAACTAGGAGCACATCAGATAATCCGGTAGCTCTCCTTCTGCCATTAAGGGCTTTGAAACTTATTTCAACTTTCAAATCTTGGGAGAAGATTTAATGCTTAAGTGTTACTCAGCATGAACTCAAATATGTTTACTTTCATATAGGTCCTTTGCACTGCAATAGCCTTCCTAAATCTGTAGAGGCAGATCTTAAACTGAAACGTTGATGTCAGTTCTGAACATCTCAAACCTAAAAGGACATATATGTATATTTATATATATATATATATACAGTGAAAAAAGGTTTTTCAGTTATCCAACCTAACTATAAACATAATCCAATTGTTTTGTGTCTATTTTTAAAGAAAAAAAAAAAGAGGGCTATTTCTACTCAGTTGAAGAAGTGGAAATCCTAATATCACAAATCTTCACATTTCTGTAAGAGTCAAAAATAGATCTGTAACTGAAAGCTGTAATTATCAAGACTAACCTTTCCTGACTGAGAAATGTAGAATTAAAAAAAAAAAAAAAAAAAAAAAAGTTAAGAGGAATTATTCAAAAGCTTAAATAATTCAAAGCAAGCAAAACTGCTTCTTTTTCTAGTTTTTATCTTGCATATAAAAAAACCCTATGAAATACTGTGGTGGTAGTAAGAAGCCTCTGCTGTATTTATTTCTCCATGATGACAGTATACTTTATTGCAGAGCAGTGGTACATGTGTCAGATACATCTAATTCAACAAGGGTATGATCCAACACTCAAGGAGCACAACTAAGATTACCCCATTGACTTCTATAAGCATTCCTCCAAGTTGCTCTTGGGGCTGTATTACTTTCCTTAATGGATAATTTTGAGCTCACATCTGTGTTCTGAAACATTACTTTTTGTACATAAAGAACAAGTTTATTTTCTTTTATTATGGTTTATGGTTCATATTCTATCAATATGCCACAATCCAAGGCTTAAGTTTGATGTTAAATAATCAACATATTTAGGGAGGGAAACTAAAGCCACTCCATTATGTTTTAATCAATCTTTACCACATATATAAATAATAGACACAATTTGTTTCCATTAGGAAGATAAGCTTTCTTCAAAGCAGTTCACTGTTTAAGGCTTTAAATTTTGCCAGCCCTTGCACAAGGTTGCAACAAACCTTGACTTATTTACAGAGAGATGTCAAGTGCAGATAAAACCACTTAATGATCCACCAGTTCTTGCTAAACACATTTTCCTTCCATGCCCTTTCTGAAAGCAGGTAGGATAGCACTCTTCTTTAGCATATTCTTAAATTACTTGAAATAAAGATTTTACAGAACAGTTGAACCAATGGGGCTGGTGGCCTCAAAGTACTTAGGGTTAAAAATAACAACAAAAAAAGTCCTTAGGCATTTATTTGAAAATAATTATATAGTGACAGTAGAAAAAGCAAAACCCAAAATTTTGGTTTGGTTTGGTTTGGCGTCTCATTCAAGACCAGGTATTTTCTGTGACAGAAACTGTCAACTTTCAATTTTTGAACTTCTGTCAGATTTGCAGCAACAACAACAGCAAATAACTGCCCCAAATGCCCCAAGCATTGAGGAGAATATATTCCTATCAACAGAAACATTTGACCTCTGCTTGTCTGAGTGCATTCCAGCTTCTCTATGTTTGTTCATAAGGACTCTGCCTGAGTGGACATCAGCTTGCGGTAAGGGCTGACTTAGTAAAACCAATATGTTGCCATAGGGACCCTGATGTATTTATCAGAATTTCCTCTTCCCTTGTGTTCAGCTGTTCCTTGCATGGGATAAGACTGGCTTTAAAAAAAAATCAACAACAACAAAACCAAACCAAACCAACCAACTAACCAAAACCAACAAAAAAACCAACCAAACAAAAAACCCAAAACAAACAAACAAACACGCACAAACCAAACTAAACCAAAAAAAAACATAAAAAACCAAAAACTCTAAACAAACAAACAAAAAGCACCAAAAGCCAAACAAGAAAGAAACAAACAAAACACAAACCCCCCCCCCCTCCAGTGTTCATTTCTTCTTATCATTGCATTTGATGCCGTTCTCAGGCAACCTGGCAGTATTTCTTTGTGCTCACCTTAGAAACGTGCACCTACAGGTTGTCTTTTGGGCCATGTTGCAAGCCCTTGGAAGTCAATGGAAAGTGTCTGTGTGACTCTGTTGAGGACAGTACTGCTGCACAGTAAGCAAGAGAGGAGTCTCCTTCCACCTCACTCATTTCTTTGTCTCCTCTCCCTGTACGATTAGATGTGGTAACCTCCTACACAGACATCTGGGAGGTAAAATGTCAACATTGACATTGACTGCTCCTGCTCTAAGGAGGAACTCGAAGTTAAGAAGTGAGGGAGAGTTTTAACATGGCATAATTTCAGGACTCCCAGATTGAATAAGGTGTGTATTACCCACGTGTGACTGGTGGTGGTGCAGCAGGTGAGGAATGGTTCTGAACCCGAAGGATTTTGAACTTCTTTATTAACACTGCAAGGAAGGTAGTGAGCACTTGGAGCACTAGTCATCACCCATCTTACTCTAGATTCCTCCCTCCAGTTACTGCCTCGGTCATTTCCCTGGGAAAATGCACCTCTCTCCCCGTGTGAAGCGAAGCTGACCAGGACGAGCCCTTTTCCCCCTCCAAGCTGCAAGCAGTGAAAGGAAAGCTATCAGCAGGGTCTGTTTACAGACACGGTTTGAGAAAATCCCCCTCTCCCCCTCCCACAAGCTCAGCACACACAAGTGCCACATGGAAACAACAAACACAACGTTAGTCATTTCCTCTGTGCTGCCAGCTGCTGAGGGTTTGCATAAGAAGAACCCTTGGACTTCAGCTTATTTCTTAAAACACCTCTCGTCCCAAATCTTTCAGCAAACAGATGCTGGACCACTGCCAGCAAGGCCAGTCGAGTGCTATTTCCTGGCGTGCCCTGCTGCCTTCCCCACCATCATCACCCCCACACTCTCCCACTGCTCACCCCACAACTACACGACACACCTCCTGTCTGATAGGGACTGTCTTTTTGAAGCCTTCTGCCTACATTGCAGTCATGCAGATCCAGAGCAGATGCTCAAGCTTAGCTACTTCTTTTGCAATTAATACTTAGGTGATGGTGGGATCTAAAAGTTTCAGTTACGGATCAGGGCCCATGTGACACTGAAGAGCTGAGTGACAAAGGAGACAGCCTTTGCCCCCAGAAAACAGTCAGTAAACAATCAGTCAGGAAATAACCTCTGTGTGAATAACAAAAATGGGTGGGATGAGCCAATAATAAAAAGAACAAATTTAGCAAAAAAGTCAAAGCTTCAGCCTCGTAGATGAGATTGTAATTTTGATGTGAACCTTACTTCTGAATCAGAAGGTGAAAGCATTGTGGCTTTGATGCTCTCAAACACTTTGTCTTGTCTCTCATTTGTTCTGTTTGTTCTGTTTCCTCAAGCCTTCCTTTGTCCTTCTCAGGGAACCCTATGCCAGGGGATACCTGGCACTGGCTTTCATTGATTCGAGTAATTCCTATGCTTTAGTACACAATAGCTGTTACCCCTGAGATCATCATCACATTTGAAGCTCACTGCCTCATCTCTTCACATCCAGGTGAAACATCTGCCCAGGCAGGTGGAAGGATGGCAGCATGTCCTGCTTCCATGCCCTCTCCCAGACATTTTACTGAAGCATTTCCACAATGTGGAGCAGAAAGAGCCAAAATGAAGACCCCAGGAGGTAGGATGGAGTGGTCAATCTCCTTGTTCTGTCAGGTGGCCCTTGCTGGGAAGATCTCAGGACTGCTGCAAAGCACTAGAGTTTCAAGTGAAACAAAAACAAACTTGAGTTTCTGCAGCTGATTCAGTCACTCTGTTCCCTCTGTACACTGTACTCTATTAGAAACCTTTATTTCCCACCTTCCTCTGTTGGTCCACATAAGCTTTTTTTTCTTTATTTTGGTTTTACTTCCTGGTGATTTTATTACTGGGATTGAGTATTCTCAGGCACCATCCTCATCTAGTTTAGCCTACAAATGTGTGTATCCTCTTTGTCACTACTTTATCCCTATGTGACCACCTTTTCTATTTCTTGCTTCCGCCAAAACAATTCGTATAGTAAATTGCCAAATATGCATTATTTACCTTTACAGGAAAGGCATGTCTTGCTTCAGTTCTAATTATAAGTAAGGTATTCTTTTGAAAATGTGTTCTGACATGGAGCAAGCTGGTGGGATATTTCCCATTTTCTGTACTATTTGGTTTTCTTACTTCTCAGCCCTCAGCACCAAAATGCCAGGAAATTATTTTCTGTATCGGTTCCCCATCTTCTTATGTGAACACACTGAAGAGGTGCATCTATTGATGTTTCTGTCTATGTCTACCTATGCTGTCAATAAATCATGTTCACCACATCTCCTTCATTGACCCCCTGTTCCTTACATTTCTGAGCACTTTCTTATTATTTATTATGTTAACCTTCTCTGTAATCTTACTGCATTTTTACCAGTTCTTGCCTTATCATTGTTTACTGTCTCATTTTGCAGTCATGCTCAGAACCTCTATAATAATCTCACATGCAGCACTTCTTACATTTTTTATATATTTGTTCCTTAATCATTGGTCTTGGAGGAAAAGTGGTTTTCTTCGCTTGTTTCCCTTTTGGAGCTAAGTCATAGATGTCTCTATCTTTCATTCTTTCTAAAAATATCTATCAATGTAAATACCAAAGTTTTCATCTGAACTCAAGCTGATCATAAGCTTACACTCCTCAACCAAAAAACAACTTTCCAGGAACAAAAGAAATGAAAATAAATAATGAAGATATACGAATATGGGTTTCCATGCTGAAAACTGTCTGCCAGGTTCCTGTAGTGTGTGGGTATTGCCTCAGGACAATATTCTAGGTCTCTTACAAGAAACTCTTTTTCTAGGCTTTACAATCTTTTGTTTGGTTTGGGGGTTTGGGGATTTTTTGTGGGTAGTTGGTTGTTTGTTTTTTTTTTTACTTTGGGTTTTGGTCCCTACCTTATATCTCCTCATTGCTGGTCTTTTCCTACCTCCCCATCTCTTCATATAGGTGGGAAAAGTAGGTATAATTTGGCACAAAAATAGAGATAGGGACACGTGGAAATACACAGGCTGAGCTACCCCCTGAATTCATACACGGGATTCTGTTGGTGTACTAGAACTAGAGTGCCCAATACATAGGAAGAAAGGTTATTTTCCAAGTATTCATGCCAAACTTGCAGACACTAATCTTTGTAACCAGCAATGCTGCTGAAGACTAATGAGAACTAAAGACGTATTCCAAAGCATGAGGGAGTATACTAAATATAACTCCTCTGACAACATTAAACACCGATATGTCTTTCAGTACTCACAGAAAAGGGCAGCTGCTCAAGCCAATACTGCTAACTGTATTTTCTAATTCTCTTATTTCTTGTGAATTTGGAAAAAGTCTTCAACTTGGTTGCTAGATTAGAAATCACTAAGGTAAGTAGAATTTTCTCTGTGTAAACCAAGATACACCATCAGTCACTGATTCATTTTCAAGAACTATAGGATACTCTAGGCAATACTTGATCAGAAAGCAACGGATAATTTTATATTTTATGTTCATATATATGTGTGTCTTAGGATACTCATTTGCTAGATCTTCCTTCCCATTGATCAGTGAGTGACAAAAGGGAACAAAATTGCAAGCACAGGACTTCTTACTAGAATTCACTGTGAACCTATCAATTGAATGATCTAGTTGGAACAAAACCTTTCACCAACACTGTCGCTCTATTGAAAGGTAGTGAAACAGAATGCAAGGGAACAGTCAAGACAGTCAAAAGCCCAGTGAATACGGCAGTAGTGAAGGAGGTAGGAGACAGTCTGAATCCCTGCTTTGCCTAATGTAATCAGGGACTTGTTACTCTGCTACTGCAGGCTGAGTGTAAGCTTCATCTGGCCCCTTATAGATGCCTTCAATACAGGCTTCTACATCTGAGCTCATCATCCATACTGCATTATGGTTGCTGGAGAGAAGCAGGAATTTTTAGCACATGTTATTTAAGCCCTAAGTAGACTGCTGCTCTCCATTAACTGTAAGTGAAGCCAGAGGGAGTGAATCAGTCGGAGAGGTCTACCCTGCACACTCTGAAGCTGAGAAAGAACCCCTCTGGACACTCAGTCAACTTCACAAAATGAAACAGTTGGAGGAGGAAAGGTAAATAAGGTCATCCCACCACCTACAGATAGGTATGGTCACCTATCTGGGTCAGTGGGCTGCCTTTTCCAGGTGCTTGCTGCTGCAGTATTCCATCATCATCTACCCTTCTCTGCTGTGTGCAGGTTGCTTTCACAGTACACTGTGAATTTTCAAGGCAATGCCATCTTCTGGTCTGCTCTTCTGCTTGCTTTTCTCTTTCTTTTAATCTGAGGTGAATGATATACTTCATACCTGTCAGCTCATCCTCTAGAAAGTCCACATCAGGTCATGTGCTCATATAGTAGTTACCACTTCATTTTTCATGTTGGGGTTATATATACTAATTTCCACACCCCCCTAGAAGGCTTCATGGGTAACCAGGTACTGTCAAATAATTTAACTGAAAAGAAGCTTATTTTTTTCCATGCCAGAGGCTTGTTATATCAGTTGTGAAATTTGGTGGGTTTTAGTATTTATCATCAGGTAAGGTATTTTTCCCTCATCTACAGCTGCTAAAAGAAAAGGAATAGCTCATATCTCTCTTAATGCCATCGTTTCCTAGCCTGATTAATTTCTCCTTCATTCTTGCCTTTTAGGATAAGCATTGGTTTCCTTTGGGGTTTCTACTTTTGCCATAGAGACACTTATTTCTTCAGACTACTCATGCCATAAGAAATGGAAGGCTACAGTTTAGAAGCTCTGCAGCATCAATTGATATACCTAAGAGGGCCAAGGTGTAAAGGTATTAATAGAGCTGCCAGGGGCAGCCAGAGACAGCCACATAATTTAGAGCAGTGTCAGGGCTGTTCTAAAATATGCAGGTGTTCATGACCCCCACTGAACTCTCCATTAGCCAAGGATCATTGCAACTATTAGCCTCTGCCGCTGTATTCCCTCACTAGGCTGAATTAGGATGAATTTCAATTACTGCTCCATTCCCTTCCCTTTCGTCTTTATAGCCTCTTTCAAGAAATATCCCATATCCTATTTCCAACACATTATAATATTCCAGTCAAATTTCATTAGTATAACTTCCATTTGCTTAAATTTCTTCCTGTGTCTTATGTGTTTGTGTTGCCTCCTCTTGAGCATTTTCTTTCTGGTGATAGACCATGTCACTGGATCCTAACTACTCCCCAACTTCAACTTAATTGATCGTACTTGGCATGTTTCCTAGAATTAGGACCTGAGTAGCCTCAGACTACACAAGTTTGGCTGTTCAGCTGGCCGGGTGAGATGGCAATCTTGCATTACTTCTGGAAACCCAGTCCTCCGCTTCACTTCTGCATCGTAGCTGTTCCAATCAATAGCTGAGTAATTAAAATCCCTCGTGATCAATGTTCTAGCTGTTTTACAGACTTCTCTTATCTGTAAAAACATTTCCCAACCTACTTTCTTTGCCTGCCCTGGGGTTCTGTAGCAACATCCAGGAATAGCATGACTGCATTCATTGTCCTTTCTCAGCTTCTGCCCAAACAGTCTTTGCTCTGACAGGCAAAACATTTGTAGTGTTTCCTGCCCTGGATATGGATATATACTGCTATCTCTGCTGTGATTGAAGAACACAGCCTGTCCCCTTTAATAAACTTTGCATTGCCCTACTCTGTTTTCAGTCCCTTCTAGCTCACACATTCCAGGAATATCACACTTAGCCTTGGAAATGCATGTTTTCAATTGGTGACCTTATTAATATGCTCACAGCATTTGTATAGAAGCTATTTTCTCCTCCCACCTTTGCTTTACATTCTCATTATCTCCTACAACGACAACCAGTGGATACATTACCAAGAGATCCATGTATTCCCTCCTTTAAATTCTTCTCCTCCCACACCACTAATCTAAAAAAATGGGTAGATCTTTTCCTTATTAGTGGGCAATCTGTTTGCTCCCATAGGGTGTGGAATAATACAGGCCATCTCTCCTTTGTCATCTTGCTTTCCCCCTTTTGTTTTTTATGACACCCCAAAGTATCACATTACCTCTTACCACGCTGATGCTCTTCCCCCCCCCCCCCAATTAATTTTACTGTGTTAAAACAAA